TGCGATGTGTTCGTTTCAAGACGATAGGCCATTTGGACAGAGTTCTTCTGTTGCTACATGATTGTCCAGCCTCTACTTCGAGGTTTCCACGGACTGTGTAGTAGAAACAACTTTAGTTAAACAGTTCCAGCCAGGGACGACAAACTCGAAGTGAAAATAGGTGACAGAGCAGTCGAGGCGTTACTCTCTGTTGGACTATCCCGTGTGGATCACGACGAAGAACCTCACCCATACATACCTTCGTTTGGGTGATTCTGGTCATATGTATGTAATCTTATAGGTAGTATTTAAGTCAATTGTAAGCCAATGTTAACTAAGTGTGATAAGACCTAATGTCTTCAGATGTTCATCATATGGTTAATTTCGAAGAACCGTCACCCACTTTGTTGCCCTTCTCTGAACTTCTCCCAAAAGTTTAGCTATCGACAGATTTACTCGATGGACTTTCATATTTCCGATTAACGATATATCCTCAGAGAATGTCGCTTTAGTTTTTCTTGACCGTTGGGTGTCGAATTGCGGAGTACCAGCTACTATTACATCCGACTGGGGCGCTTAATTCCAATCAACTCTGTTTCGTGAACTAATGAAACTCCTTGGAGTGAAACATATCTCCATGGTAGCTTATCATCCGGCAGCGAATGTTCTTGTGGAAAGATTCCATAGACAACTGAAAGCTCCCTGATGGCACAGAACGATAAATCTAAGTGGAGTGAATACTTACCCTTGATTTTACTGGGTGCTAGATCTACTATCAAGGAGGATTTAGGGTGTGCAGCAGCTCAACTCGTTAACTGTAGCAACCTCACTTTCCCTGGACAGTTATTTCCCTCATCCGATTCGACAGACGTGAATATTTCTGACTTTACCAACAGATTGGTTTAAGCTTGTTTGAGACTAAAACTAATTCAGAGCCTTAGAATAAGTCTTAGTCTAAGCCTATTCATTTCGCATATGATTGGTCAATTTTTGAAAGCATGGATGCTTTCGACTGACCTTGAATTTGCAAGTCACATGTTGGTTGAACTTGTGAGTGTGAATCGGTGCGACTATCTAAATCATAATGGTTAGCTGTGAAGTAATTCTCTAAACATATCGGTAGACATATTGGTAATAAGCAGGATGAAGTGGATCCGACTTATTTCGTTTATGCCTCATGTCGACGGTTTACCATCTGGATGATGAAATTAGAAGTGGTTTATTCCATCAGGGTCTCACCCAGTGTAGTCTCGAACTTTCTCAGTCAATCAGGTATTTTGAAAAGTGCTAATGTAGGACATTTCAAGGAAATTTTCCTTGAGCATCCCCCGACCCATAGTTAAAGGCTGAATCATTGAACTTTCCAACTACAGTGATTCTGTGATAAGCCGAGTTCCCTATGATGGTGTTGAGTAGTAGTTGGTTGTGTTCCGCTGCATGGAGGGAGGTGGATGTGGACGGTCGATGCAAGCCACCTGATAAATATTTGATTGGCTCATGGTGAAATGTCGCCAAATCGAGTATGGATTTTGAGTAAGTGGTGGATTGGTTGATTGTACTCATCTGAGCAGCTTTTCAACGTATATGGCTACTCTACTTCTTTGCTTCCTGCCTTCCTTGTGGTCCCTGTCTCGCCTTATCTGAAGAATATCGCTATTACAAACTTTCTCGTCGAAAATAGTTGAGGGCAGTCAGGTTTCTGTCAGTTTATTATTAATTATTATTATTTCGAGGTCTGCGGTTGATTGTAGTTTTCGGAGTCCAGTTTCATCCTCTCAGCACAGTCAAATTGCTGTAAAGGCGACTGATAGATAGTCCTACTGCTACAACAGAGGACAAGATAATTGTTAACGGACTTTATTCAAGCAAGAACACATCATATTAATGCAGTCTTAGCGACATTAGAAATCGGCTAGGTGAGCGGACAATAAATTGTCTGTAGGACGGAAGAAAGTTTTCTCATTCTGGTTTTGTCGACATTGCTATAGTGCACACAGAATGGCGTAGCGTCCTGCTGTAAGCTACTGCAAAGAATCAGATGAAACACGATTATCTCATGGTCACTACTACGAAGAGGGGTCATGATTTGAACGTTTTCTACGAGTGACTGGTAGCTAGTTTTGATACAAACGAATCTTGGTGATTTTCCATTAGCTCCGCACCTAGTGGCGTAGACCGCTGGATGAGGGTTTAGTATCGACTCATCGTTTTCAAAATTTTTATTCAAATTATAATTATAAGAATAATAGCAACAGTGACAATGAGGATATGCATGAGAAACATGCGCAGAATGATTACAACACCAACAATGAGAAATCTTAGTCATCAGTAGTAAACTCATACAAACAGGGAATCTCTGAAACCTAACAGAGAATCGCTAACAATACTGGGATAAAAGTGGCTGGCATTCAAACTCACAAACTCAATCAGAAACAAACTTTGTCAGTTAACGGATTCTATGGAGCCAGTTGAACAAGGAAATTTAGTTTATCTAATGACCTCGTGGAATGGTTGTCAGATCGAATACATAGGTGAAAATAGTAGAACGGAATAACTTGGACTGGTGAAGCACAAAAGCCCAGCGAAATCTAGATTAGATGATCTGAATAGGATAAGAAATGCAGAGAATAGTTCAGCTTTGCAACTCACTACATGCAATTACACACAAGCATTCAGATCAATACAATACAGTTATAAACATCTAGATTTGACAGCACTGAGACACAACGAAACTGCATAAAAACAAAACAAAAACAGAAATAAATTCAACAAATGTATACACCATATAGGACTAAATGACAAGATTTTAACCTGTCTGATTTCAAATCATAAGATCTATAGTTTGAAGACTGCTCACTGAGGTTAACGACACTCAACACACATTGTGATTTTCGATTTGCACACATCCTGAGAGAAATTAATTGCATGAAGGATGAAATAACGACTCTGCTACTGCTGCTACTCATAGTAGTAGTAGTAGTACTGTAACAACAGAAGACCAGGGCCAGGCAACAGATCGTTTATTAAGGAAATCAAGGCATATTTATATATTTTCATGTACATTATTATAGATTAGTTGAGCAGACAAACACAGTCTTCTGATTCGTTGTTTCTCACTTAAAGTTAATCCTTCATCTCTTTGTGACTGTTTCTTGAGTGTCAGATCATCTATATGTTAACTGCATCCGCCTACGCAAAGTCTGCTGTGGTTGGATTTTGAATCAGTCTTTGTTCATATTTTCTCACGACCAATATTTAGAAGGTAAACATTGACGGAAATTAGTGTCTACCAATTTGGCTAGTAGACAGCTCTCACCACAGTAGTAGTAGTGTAGTAGTAGTAGTAGTAATGGAGAAAAAATGCTGAAGAGAAGTGAGGGGAATTGATAGGTAACTACACATGTGAAATGGAAGTATGCTGTCAAGGTAGATTCAAGTTAACAAAAATCCAAAGTATACAACATGGTTAGTAGTGAAGCAAGTCGGCGGTTTGGATCAGTGAGAAGAGGAAGCGTCGAGCAGCCCACTGTATTTTAGAATGCATTCAGAAGTTATGTATATTTTACAATGAATCGTTTCAAACAGGGGCTATGTAGGATGTTTCCATTTTTAACATCTAACAAAAACTGTACAGTTATATTTTTCCATACTTCACAAGAGTGCTTACTATCGGGATCCAGTTGGGCAATAATCTTGTGCAAATTTGAGAGAATCATGAAGTGTATGTATTGAAAAGTATTTTCCTGGAGCATCAAACATAGCCACTGTGTAAATTTGTGATATGAAGAATTTAAAATAGGCAGTTCTGGTCCAAGCTGGTTTTCCTCTCTGTGTATCTTCACCAGACCATGGAAATCTGCTACATGAGATCCAATCGGCTTTGAACTATTGAAAGTCTCTTTACTGATGGATTTTTCTATCAACAAATTTCTTGGTTGTTTAACTCCCTCTTCATTTATTAGCTGGCTGGGTAAGATCTTTACCCTTGTCATGGACCTGAAATTTCGCGTCAGTGGCAGTGACCGCAATCTACTGTAAGCATAATGATTGTTGATCACTCTGAGGTTATAGATTACCACTAGGGACAAAATGATAATTTAATTGTCACCCGTGATTGGCTAAGTAACCACAGGTGAGAAACAAAAAGGTTTCGTATAAACGGTGTGAGTGAATATTATACACCCAGTATAACTACAAGAGAACGTACCAAACTAACGAGGACCACTGTTCACCTATTAAATGCAGTCATCAGTTACGGTGTTCCTCAACATATTCACTGTGAGAAGAGTGATAATTCCAGGGGAGATCATTATAGCCGGATCAACTTTCATCTGTAGAGAAAAATTGCGGTAATACATTTTTTTTCGATAACGGTAACTGCATAGCTTTCGAATCACTAAAATTGTAAAGAGCGAAACATGTATTCTGTTTGACTTAAGACTAGTATTACATACGTTAATTTGTTATAAGTTTCAATCAAACACTTTCCATGTTTATACTGACAATTATTCCGTCTGTTTATTTTCATGAACTACGCGAATAGTAAAAATGGGTGAAACACCAAGGGTTTGTGAGAGAAAGATAATTATCAATGCTTCATTTTATAGAATACAAAGCCTGGGGTGATTTCTGCAGAAAGCTGTTACCTAAAGGTAGGTAAATTCATCTACATATTCAGCATAAACTCTGAAATAAAATCAAGTATCTTATTTTGACGTGTACAATGGTTTTGTTGACAATAATTATTACAATGTGTGCAGCAACCATGTAAGTTTGTATTGTAATATCTCCTCTACACAGCTTTTTCTATAGACCTCCATTTCGAGATCTGTGCGAAAAACTCTATCTACCAAGTGCATTTTTGTAAGTATATTGAAGCGTAGTTTTGTCGCATATTGTGGCTATTGTGCCAGAATATACTAGTATGTCACTATTATCAGTGAATGATAATTATTAGTAATCAAGATGAAATCAGCCCTTATTGGAACTGCATCGTGGTGATGATGAGTGGGCACTTTCACTTGTGCGTCCGTGGCATGGCGGCTAGGACTCTCGCCGGCCAAGCACATGGTCCACGGTTCGATCCCCTGCCGACGCACACCTGATATCAATGGTCGGTCTGCGAAATTTGGGCTACTGATATCACATGCTAATAATTCCATACTTGTACCAAAATACTGTGTGGATTCAAACTATAATCAAATAAAAATAAATAATGTCTAATGGGAGATTTGATGTCTACGATTTATAATTGCATTTGACTAACTAAATACAATATTTTTGTCTTCAGTGTACTTGGTATAATCCCCATGGGAGTGTTTCTCTTTGCTAAGAACGTTCAAGAACGATTTCCACTGAATTATGCGCTAGTAGTACTTGCAGTAAGTTTTATATTATTCAGTTTAAGAATGTGTTTCTTTGACACCATACACTGACCACTTCACAAGAAAAGACTTTCTGTATAAGAAAACTGTTGACAAAGATATTTGAGGTCTGTCTCACGGAAATGTCGCTCATTGATCATTTCGAAGTTTGTACTGTTAATGATCAGGTATAGGATATATTGGATCATACATTGGAAAACAGTTGCATAATTACTTAGAATGCTCTTTTAGAATGGAATCCGAGTCACTGGCATGTTCACTAGAGACTAGCATGTTTAATGACTGGTTACGAGTTGCTCGTTATATGATAATATGTATAATCAAATCGTCAAGGTGGGTGAATCAGATCACTTTACTTTCATTACATTGGGCCAGAAATATTCATTCAACCAATATATTGAGTGATTGATTATCCAGGGAGGATGGTGAACGCACTGTGAGAAAATGACTATGTAGAAGAAGGTACACAGTCTCCTAAACCTTTATCAAACCCATTTAAAAGCCATATGATAATGAGCAATGTCAAGTGAGTCACAACGCAATGTTCATCAAAATTTCTGAATCGAAGAGAGTAGTAAAACAAAGCTGTTGTTGTCACAGATTATGTAAATAAGTATCATGGATGGGACCATCTATTGTACCATGCAAGGCGACAAGACATATAAGAAAACTCCAGAAGACCTGGACTTCTTTGAAAATTTCTCTCTCATTTGGTAGAAATTCGTTAGCCAGCGAGTGGAAAGCAACAAATCAGAAGAGAATGCCGGTTTAACCAAGACTTCAAATGAACACACAGGTGACAGTGGTGATGAAGATACATAATCCATGCAGAGAATAAGCAACAGTTACCATCAAACGGTGAGATTTGGAGGATTCCAGTCGTGCACATTGTCCGAAAGGCGTCGTTCCAACTACATTCCCAAACAAGTTTAAATTCTGAACCGTACAACTTAGGATGGTAGAGCTTGAAAGGATGGAAAGAGCATGACATTCCTTGACTATATGGAAATCGGTATGGAAGCCTGCCACACGCAACATAATGGATACGATCTTATTCTTCAATGCTAATGCGAAATCATGACTTATAATAGATTCAGAGACAATCAACAAACAACGAGGGAGATCGAGACAGCCAGAACTCAAGCTGTATAGAAACGTCGAGTAATATCGTTGGCCAGGCCAACTAATGGAACCTGTAGGATACATGGTAATTATTACATTGATTGAAGGATGGAGCTGCGGACATTATAGGAGGAAATGAAACCTTACGGTCAGTCATACAAGCACCTAAAGAAAGCTCCAGAAAAAACAGAGAAGTGGAAATTCACTGCTGAAGGCTGATGTTCTACTAAAACACCGAAATAATAATGATACTACTATCAGCGTTTTGTGAAAGATTTATGGTGTTCACAAGAGTCCTAGATACCGCATTATAAATTATTTAAATTTATCCCAGTGTGTTTAAGAAAATCGAAACAAGGTTTTTCTGAACATTTCACTGTGTAACCCACAGCTTCTTCAGCAGATCTATTCGGATTTTTTATTAATCATCCAAATATATAGTCAAAACGTTTTGTATAAATTGAAGTCAGTTTACTTGAAGGTCATTTGTTCATGGACATTTTTACCAATATAGTGCTAAATAACGATTCATTTATTTTCAAAGATAAAGTAGGTGCATCTACCCTCAGCATAAAATCTTTCACAGTTCAATAAACAATCAACCTCATCAGTTATCGTTATTCAAAAGGAGGAGACCACAGGTTGTGGTATTGTGGACAGCATAATAAACGAATTAACATCGCGTTGCTTTATAGCAATGTATTGTATTTTTCTAGAAATATCATTATGAATCTGTCACATCAAACATCGTTATAATTTTGTACTTATATATAATGTATAATATGGTCGGTGAAAGGATCAGTCTAAACGTGACTAGTATTCCTACAGAGGGTACCCAGCAACAATAAGCGTCAGTCAACACCAGCAGAAAAAGTTACAAGAAAGTCTCTTCCTGCACTTATCTCGGTGTCATCATTTCAATTATATGCTAATATATTTATTTCGATTCTAAACCATATGTGACACAACCAAGGCAGCATAGCAAAAGCAAAGAAGCCCTCATGACCCTGAAACCATTGTAGATTCTGCTTCACTCAGCTCAAGCGACAAAATCAGTTTCTTCACTATGAATGTTAAATCGTTCCTCTCGAAAATCAGTAGAATAGTAGCAATTAGAAGAATAATGCTACGTGATCACCATCACCACTAGCCCTCAATACGCTTCAGTTATTTCCAAAGGTGATGTGTCCACCGTTATTCTCATCATGCAGTTTAACAACCATATATTGGTTTATCCATTACGCTCCAAAGATAACTTAATTATGTTATGTATACTCCAAAGGAAGACGGCGTAAGTGGTCATATTTTGAAGAGTTTAATAAACGAAAATAGACCGCCTTGTTTAGTTCTTATACATATATCAGGAGTGAATCTGTCTCATTGAAGATATTAATAAATGTTCGTACTTATATCTTATGCATACACATTCTAGCTTTTATTATTGTCATTTGCAATACCTGGCATAACAGCAGCCTTGTGGTTATGGAATATTTTATCATGGACTCTGACGATGGCTGTTTCTGTGGGTGCACTCATATTCGGGTACAAAATGGAAAAACTGAGTAAGACATCCAGCATCATAGTACTGAGCTTTGCTGGTGGGATAACAGTGGTGGGAATCATCGTGTTGATTACTTTAAAAGTTACTTTGAATGGGGTAAGCTTCAACTTATTTAATGGAATAACTTATCCTGAGTGATTTAGATAATTTATCATTTCTGAGCAACTGATCATATTGTGATGGGTTAATCGATATGAAATAAGGCTTTATTAGGTGTACTTTTCATTCGTCACAAGTACGCATCAGTAGTGAATCTCAACTAGAAAATTCAATGTCCACAAATTATACATGATCTGATCTCTGCAGCTTTCTTTCATTACTTGCATATTGCTTAATAACTGACTTCTTTTCTCTCATTGTTAACTCAATACATTTATCCAATATTCAAGATTTATGCAGGAGAATTAACACTATATGACAGTTATAAATTTTTCCTAAGTAACATAGGCAGATATGGTAATTTGACCAGCACACTTCCTGCATCATTAATTTGGTCTAAGTAATTTAAAATAAAAACTCGTGCTTTTCATGATAAATTGAGCAACATATGTTATGCCTGTCTAGTCCAATTGAGACATCAAACCTTAGTAGGGTTCATGTAGTCTATTTATACATGTAGCAGGTAATCTATTTCTATACAAGCTAATCTGGTGCTGGCTGAATGAGACGTTACTGAACAAACATCGGTTGACTTCGAACCAATCAAAATATACGGCGTACTTTGAAGTCCATCAAAGAATAACCATGAGTGTTAACAACCTAGATAAATAGGGTTACGCATGATGACAATTAGTCAACGATAAAACTGGCTGAAGATCGCGCTATGCATCACAAGGTTGAGGCGGTTGGAATTCACAGGCTTATGTATTCCATCCCAGCGGCTCAATGACATACGAAGTTGACTTGTAGCCTGACGATACAACTTTCAATCTTTTAACTTGCTGTCATGAGTGAGTACTGCTGATTAGTCGCAAACAAGGAAGAAACAGAAGTACAGTACGCCATGATTTTCTTTGCCTTTCTCACTGAAAACTGTCCGTGATCAATCTTGAAAACGGCGAAAATAATACTACCGATATCATACATACAATATGAAGTAAATATTTCTTAACCAAAGGAAAAAGAACCATAATACTTTAACCTTATTACTTGCAGATAATTTCGACCATCCTGCCTGCTTTGATCATCGTTTTCGCTATATTGATGGTAAGTCTGATGAATCAATCTTGGATATGATTGAAGTTTGTTAATCAGAAAAAATTAACGTATGCTGTGATAAATCACTAGTACTGTTCACACTGCTATATCCCTACTTCATGTTTCCATTCTGCATGTTTGTGTGTGTGGTATGTGGTTCAGTATTTGACTAATTTCTCAGCTTTTATTTCAAATGTCTCAGTTATCTGGTGATTTTCATGACTTAGTTGATTGTATGAACTTATAAACTGCAGGCTGTGCTTAGTATGAAATTGAAATAATATGGCTAAATATTTGGCAGATATAATGCATAAGTCATTGAGTCTGCACTGTATCCTGTCAGCTCCAGATGCAAAACATTCTTCTAGAGTCAATGCTTATATTGCCTATAAGCTCTTCAATGAAATTTATACCGTCTACATACTTTCTTTCTTTGGAACAGGTGTTATATCTGACCGGACAAGGGATAAAACGGTGCAGTAAAGCAGATACAAGCAGTATCCTTCCAATCTGGTTAACTGTGATCACTTGGACAGGCGTGGTCTTGATTTATTTGTCGATATCTGTTATGCTTCCGAGAACTCAAAGTGGAAACCAGACTGACATGTAAAGCGGAACTTGTCGTTCAATAATACTACACTTTTATTTTTGTTGTTGGTTTGCCATTTGACATATCCACTATGTCGTCATATGTGTAAAATTCGTTTTATACGAAGGAAGATTTTCATTCATATTCCACATAATTAATAATCAAACTGCTTTACATTATATTATGTATAAAATCTTTTTCTTCGGTGCTGTAGATTACAAGAGATTTAGAATGTACATTCTGTGATTTTGAATAGTATGTAAGAAAAGAATAAGTGGTCGTCATCTGTCACATCCAAAGGGAGATGTATCACCCGAATAGTGTTCATACCAGTTTAGTTTGCATTTCTCTCTGCGTGCTTCAGTATAGCTCGTAGCATGCTACTCAAAGTGAAGCTCTGCCTTTAACGTAAAGTACAATAATATTATTGAGATCATGGCTTTTGTAGGGATTACGATTAGATTCTAAGTGAATTAAGTCACGAAATGACGTCATTTAGAGAAACATTGTGGCCTAGGAAACACCGTGTAGCTGCTGCATGACATTTTGTGATGTTACTGCAGTATGGAACTAAAGCTGCAATGACATTTGAAGCTGAGACATTGAGAATACAACAGTTGGCTCGTCGAACAGTCGTCCACTTGAAATGGAAACCAGTGACCTGTGAATTTCAGTTTTCTAGAAAGAGAATTCCTGTATATAAAATGCGATCTAAAATCCCCACGTAAAAAGCCTTAATTTGAGTATTGTTGGCATAACTGCTTAAATACGTATCACCCCATGGTGATTTTTCCTCTGAAGAACTCATTTCAACAGAATGATATTTTACTGACTTTTCAACAATGTGAACTCATTAAGTGAGAAGCGTATGCCTGGCTTATGAAAGTTAACATAGAGGACAAGAAAGTCTCAAATGATTTAAATTGACCTTCCATGAATTATAGTTGATCATAATCGACGATCATTAAACATGTAGCGTGAAGCGACTTCAGTCTTCCAGGAGAAAAAGTAATCAGACAAAATGGATAAAGTGCTAATTCTTGTGATTTTCAACTCATATTAAATTTCATACAATAAGTTAGGAAACATTCCATAAAAAATCGAAGTATTATATTCTATACCTTATTTTCACACTACCATCCGTTGAAGCATTTTGCTTTAATCCCCTTCGAATTTAAATATCACAATGTTTCACAATTTTTCAACCACCATTTAAAAGCAATATTAATGCGGTTGTTTCTAGTGTCACCCTTAGTATTACTGATAAGCTCGTGACTTAGTAAACCAGAGTGCACTTTGCTCGAAAGAAGTTATTTCAACATTGACTTCAAAACACTTAAAGGCCCATTATTTGCATAAATATTCTAACAAAACCATTTACGCAAACAGACGGAATTTTAAAGAAATATGTTACTGGTCGTAACTGTTGCTAAGTTGTCACAACTGCATAATCAGTAAATTAGCACCGAGTTTGAATTTGTCTGATATTCAAGACAGGAAATATGACAGTCAAACATTCATTTCAGACTACAGTAGTTACTAGTATGCTGTGTGAATTGTGAAGTGATGATGATATTAAATGATTTATATTATCCAAGCAATTATGATTTTGTAATAATCATATTATTTTATTAATACTTTCAAGTACATCATCAGCATAGAGGTGAATTTATTGGAAACATTTGATTTGATTGAGTACATGCCCATTAAACCTAATTAGCTGTCTTTTTAACATGAAGTTTTGATTGCATATCTTCTATTTTGAAGTTTACAATTAGAATATAGTGAGATTCGATGGATTTTTTTAATATATGAAAATATCTAGTTGAGCGATACCACTGAACCTCTCCACAATATCCTTATCAGTGATATGAGTACACCTTCGTACAACCTAACGGTAATCATAAGAGTTAGTAAGATAATTTGAAGCTTCAAGTGTCAGTGGTTCATGAGACTATACACCAAACATTACATTACACTATGCCGTTGTTTCACTGAGGCTTTTGAGGTAGACACCCCCCTATTGTCATGCACTCTAAAAGTGGCGCCATACATTTAGGAATAAGTTCTAACAGAGTAATTGTGGATGCATCAGTATGTGGATTACTAAGCATGTCTGCACACATAAGGTAGATTTAATAATACTTTTCGTAATCACCTATCAATGTGTAGATCTTAAACACAAAATCTTATCTGTACTTTATACATTCTCCTTCATGCCTTTAGGATTCACCAAAGATCACAACTGGAATTTGTTTCGCCTTAGCCGTAGTGCTAGTAAATTCTCAATTGTACTACATTTTTAAAACACTTCTCATGAGAAAATATCCAGTCGACTTCATACAACTCTGAAGATTATTACCCATTTCTGCAGCAAGAACGGAAAACAATGTGAATACGGCTGAAAATACCTCGAAAGTTCATATTAAATAACAAAACTTCTGTAGTGTTATATGACTTCATCATGACGATTCTGAATACAAAGACGTTCATGCATGTCAATGTTCAGAATCCACACAATAACACGTTTCGTCACAATCACACAACACAGTGTGTTTGCTCACAAAGTGAGAGTTCATAAAGAAGTTGGCCAGTTCGAGAAAACAGCATCAATCGTTATTAATATGTGTCAACTTGTACTGCTTTGTGATGTCACTTGTGACCAATTGCGAAACAGAAGTGGTTTGCAAGCAACCTTCATTCAGTCGTTCATTAATATCTGAACTGAATCTGGTGACATTTGAATGAACGAAAATTGACAGCTTCATCATGTGACTGTCACTTTCATATTAAATCACTTTGTTCGAAGTCATCTGATCGAGCTGAAGATGTTTGCGAAAATATCTGACTCAACGAAAAACCACTCAACTGATCATTCTCCATGTCTATAACACAGAATATTAAACTCTTACATGTATAATTCATATATATAAATATATAAGCTAAACCTCACCATCCCTTAGCCAAATCGCTAAGAATGGTACATAATTTTAGTTAAATTTCAATAACCGACGGCCGTAATCTTGATTATGTTGTCATTAAATTTCACTCTGGGACTATTGCACCTTCACGTCAGATGAATTATGGTACTTCATATTTTCAGCTAGTTAAATTTTGCAAGAACACTAAAGAAATCATCCACCGACAGATAGTGAGACTGGATTTGGAAATATATTGGTTCGAATCCCGTTGGATGAGTATTGTGGATGAGTCTGACACTAGCAGAGAACAGCTGTTCAATACTCCCTGGTTTTCCGTGGTTTTCAATTGATATCAATCCGTAGTCAAACTTAAAATCTTGGGATATTGTTTTTCTAGTTTATTCCTGTAAGGTGAATCCATGACAAGTGGGGAAATTTGTCAGTGTGAATGATCGATGTTACAATGACACATATCGGCAGATATTAAGACTGAACTTGAAACCATATGGACGTCGTTACCGTAGGTCAGTCCTATAAGGTAGATGTTCAAAAGAATTACTACATCAAATCACAAAAGCATCCAGAAATGTGATATAATTGTAAAGCTTTAATTGAAAAGTCTATCATACCAGTCAGCGATACCAAAATGCGAAAACTGACTTTGACGTTTCCATCTTACAAACTGACATGATGGCTGGCTGTCTAATAAATCAAGTGAATCTTTGTCCAGGCTTACTCAAAATTCTGATTGTATGACGTAGAATTATTGAGGTGTGAAATGAAATAATATTATTTTGTTTCATGGTAAAGAGAACAACCACAAGCAACTTCCATCATTAGTCAACATGAAACCTATTCAGCACAGTCAATATACACTGCTGAACCTCTGCCTTGGGTTGGATAGTGCAGAAACATCCATAAACAGTCTACTAGAGGAATCGATATTCCAGACAATTTCACCATAAAAAAAGGAGGAAATCAGTACATTTTTAACTGAGACAACCAAAATGTGCAAGCGCTTTTTAACAATCCTTAATATACTGAATGGCCACCTCAGAAAACTAATTTGATCTACTCCCGAATGCATTAAGAATCTGAGTAATTCTTATTGAAGAATCTTTCCACCACGTGTCTATCTGAAGATTTGTCGTTTGCTTAACCACACCAGTTTTCATCATCCCTCCTATCCAAAATCGTCCCAGTTTTCATCTTTGCTGTCAATCAATAGATTGATTGATTGATTATGATTAATGAATGTGCAATTCATGTGCATAATTTTATCATCCTGTTGACAAATCATCACTATGATTGTTTTACAATCAATAATTATTGTCCACTGAACTGAACTTAACTGAGCAAAGCTGAACTGAACGTGAACGACATCTTGCTAGACGACTGACATGAACTAGAATGAATGTGTCCAAATACTAGTTCATCACTCACTATCCTGTGTCTTTTCAATAACCCAGATATATATGCTGGTTACCTCAAGTCAACATTGTCAGATAAGCTGAATTCCATTCCATTCGATTCCATTTCATTGCGTTCCATTCCATTCCACTTCATTTGATTTCGTGTTCTCTAAGTCTTTCACAAATGCACTAGGTTGCAATTTGTGTACAATTTAATAGGAAATCAAAGGGAGTGAGTGATTCAGAGAAGAGTCTCCCTTCTCAACGAATTTATCATCAGGCTGTACAATCATGTGAATGTGATTTTCCACTTAATGATAGTGTGAATCATTTATGTATACATATATCTGATTGCTTTACATTCCGAGTGGAACATAGTGTTTGAAGCTAGAGCTTTGAAGATTCTGTAGCAGTGGTGTTTATTTTCACGGGATGCGGTTGTCATCCAACACAACCTGTTGATTTCCGCGAAGATATTTCGTCGAGGCTTCCACGTCACGACGTCACGACAATCTGGTATCACTCAGACGGACACCTTCACACACTTTGTTAATTCTTGTCTTCTACCGTCTTCTTCTTGTTGTTCCTCATCGCTATCCCCTTCATACTCCTTCCTCGCCTACTCCTCACACCACACAGTTTTCTCACCTTGTCAAGGAAGGACACTGAAAGCAGCTGACTTCGGGGGTGAGTTGTGTGTCGACAGACTAACTCGTTACTACTCTTGTCGACAGATTGTTCAACTGATTGATGCAAGGTATTGATTGACAGAAGTCGTCTTGTTCTACTCTGACCAGCCTCTCTATACACAACTCCC